TCAAGTGAAGGTGTATCAAGTTTAAAAAGACAGTGGAGAATCATAAGGTGGCAGAGAGTTTCTTATTTGAGAGAAGAACACAACCTAAATATGCAGGATTTGTGTGTTAAACATGTGTTAATTAAACTAAACACAATTCTAGGGTAATTTAAAACATTGAAACAGATCATAAGGTAATATGAGCCCTTTAATGGCTTTCAACACAATAAAACTATATAATTTGTTATTCTATATCTAAAGTTCATTTCGTGTGTGATGGGACAGGCTGCAGGTGGAGATGGGCCCTGATGGGGGATTTGGGTGATTACAGTAGTGGCACCCATCTGCTGATTGGACCAGAGCGGACGCTGCTTGACTTCAAAAGAACAGATGACAACAGTGTGGCTGCTGCTGTTTCCAGTACATAGCTACCAGCTGTTGTGTGCTTTTTTAACTTCTATTACAGCTCCTTTTTTGATTGTTTCTGTAAAATCACAGCTCTGAGCTCAGAAAATAGATATTGTCATCATGGCAGGGCTGTAATTTTGAAACATGTAATTTTGTGGATAAATCCGTAATTAGTTTCCAAAAACATCTGTCAGTTCTGTTAGCAGTGCAAGTGCAAAGTCTGACCGAAAGGACATTTCATTTTCTTAAACCCCAATTTGTTGCTTATTGAAATTCAAAACAGAAGAAGCTAATATGACATTTGCCTTTTGTTAAGTTTATTATTATTAGTCAACCCTTAATTTTTGTATTATAGAGATTTAAAAACGTACCTTTTGTTCTGTACCTCACTAGAATCATAATTATTCTTTGTACCAGTCCCAAATATTATATACATTTCATATAAGCGCAATAATATATATATTTTTTGTTTTTGTCAGTAATAAGACAGAGAGAGATTGGAATAGTCATAGATGCCAACTTGTTTCAATCTAGTCTGCGAAAAAAAACAAAAAAACATATTATCATGTATGTAAATCTCACTATTTATAATTAATGAGGCATCAATAAAAAAGTGGGGCATTCTCTAAATAAGTGGGACAAGGGACCACGGCCTAAATGACTGTGCAGGACAACCAATTTCTTCTGGCTGAGATAAATAGCCTTTATATCATGAAGTGTACTGTAAATGCAGATAACTGACAAAAAAAAAAAATAGACTGAGAAACACAAGAACTTTACTTAGTATTTTGGTACTTAACTAATAACTACATCAAATCAGGAACATAGTTCACTAAGTATCATGCATGGGAAACAACTTCTGTACTTGATAGTGTTGTTAAGTGTGTCACTTCTCAATTCAAGACATGCAGAATTGTGACAAAATAATAATAATAATAATAATAAAAAACAAAGCTGGAACAGCTGTAAAGTTGCCAAGTTGGATCCAGAAGCGACATCATCATTTAACAACTAATAAAAGGCAGTCGATTCTCTGTCTGGTGCATTTTCAAGAGTGAAAATGTATCTTTCAGAGGGTAGAGATTGATAGGCTCCATGAGACTCATGAGATCAGACACTTTACACAGTTTACACTGAACATCACTCATGGTTTGAAAAATCAGGTACTGGCCCTTTAAGTGAGCATAAGTCACAACAAATAGTGATGTTGTTGCACAGTCTCTTCATAACAAAGGTAGTTGGACACAGTTGCTGTATTGAGAGGGTCTTTGAATCAGTGGGGGAGCACAGCTGGTTCACTCACTGTGCATTAGCTCGGAGCAGCAGCCACCTCTGTGTTAGCACCTGTTTAGCCCCTGGTCTTCACAAAAACACAATCCTCACATGTTCTGCTTTACACTTCAGAGGTGCACAAACACACTCTCGTGCTTCGATTGGGTCTGGGGAGCTCAGGGCACCTTGGCTCCCCAAACAGATGGTACTGACACATGGAGGTCTGAGCCAGGAATGGGTACAGTCACTTTATTTGAAAGTGAAGAAAGAAGAGGGTGAGTTGTTTGCTGTAACTATGCAAAAAAGAGAAATTTCTGTAAACACATTTTTGCCCATCCAACCATGCAGCTGTTTTCACTTTCCATGATCAAGCAATTTGATTCGCTTTTATCTTTTATATTAATGTTAATATTTACTAAAACCTTTTAAAGGTGCACTCCTTAACTCTGGTGAGGGGTCCACCATGCTGCTGGTCTCCATGGTGATGTTATTCCTTTGCCTTAGATGTTCCACAGTATGTCATTTAAACAAATAAATCTTGGATGTGTTTTTGATTTCTTAAAACTACCACATAACAGATCTGACCTGTACTTGGCCTGGTGATGTGGCCTGCTTTTCTCCATGGAGATGGTAGAATTAAATACCATTCTGAATAACATTTCAAAAAAAGACTACTTGGACAGGTGACAGACCCTCTATCAAAAAAGTTCCAGAGTGCACCTTTAATTTTATATAATCACATGTACTTATTTATTAAACTTATCTTATGCCTAAAGTAAACAAGAACATAAAATTAAAAGATTAAAATAGCTTGATTTTTTAATATAGATTTATCAAAAAACTATCATAAAGTTGTAGCATACACATACGTTTTGAAGCTGAATTTTAATTAAGCTAATCAACCTGCCTCCACACAAAGACAAATAATATTATCCTCAAGAGGCAGAATAAATTAAATTTTGAACAAAGTTGCACAGTTTTCCTATGAGGAATCTTTCTGGAACAAGAAAAGGCCGTCTCTGCCAGATGAGACATGTAAACCAGCTGCACTAAATTGGCTGTTATTCTCAGAGGCGTGGATCAAAGTAAACACTCCACTGGGACTCCACATGAGCCCGGGATACTACTGCTAATGACACACAGCGTTATGGCTCTTAAGGCCCCTGACAAGCTGATAAACTCTGCTTTGACACATGCTTAACAAGGTAAGCACTGGTTTGTCTGACTATTCCAGAGGACATAAACACATCTTACTTACAACATTGTTAGTCACACCAGTCGATGGCCTCTCTAACCACCACATGGTCACAAATGTTACACTGCAAAAACTCAAATGTAGCTGAGTTATAATTACTTGATTTAAGAATAAATCAAACTGAATAAACTTCACTTGACAAGTAAAATGATCTACCAATGGTACAACACTTTTTAAATGAAAATACATCTTGTTACACTTAAGATCAGAAAAAACAACTCTTAGCATTTAAAATAAGAAACAAAATCTCATGTTGCACATTTTTATTCCAGTAAGTAAATTGAATTTACGTTGAAAGTAAAATGTTCTTAATTTAAGCCACTTTAAATTATCTAGATATTGCTTTTTGCAGTCAACCTTCATCGCTCTCAAAGTGGTTTACATCTAGGTCTGTCCTGATGATTACTATATTGACTTATCATTCAATATATGAAAGTTGGAAGAATATATTGGGGTTCAATATTTATCGTGTGTACATTTTCTTTGCAAAAGTGGGAAGATTTGGTTTATTTTTATTGTAATACTATAAGATTTGAACTGTAGAGGGTTGGATAACTTCATTGGCTATTTATTGGTTCATTACACTTTTTATTTGTTGCAGCTCAGGCCTTTGAATAATACTATATATTTAAAAATGGTTTACTGGGATTAACTTGTATTATTGTTGTTGTGTCAGTGGCATTAAGTAGTAGTATATAATATTATCATTTAACGCTGTATATTTGTGTAAAAATACATCATGCTTCAAAATTTGTTTTCGTGACAGGCCTATTTACATCAAGGAACCACTCACCCTTTCAGACACCAGTTTATGTAGACAATGAGGGTGAAGCGGATAAAGTGTCTTGTCCAGTGACACAATGAAAGTATTCATCTGTGGGAGCTGGAATTGCAATGTCAAAATATGGTACAGGGGATTTTCCGGTGAGTTTTATGTGAGAAGCACGATTCAGGATTTTAGTTTTGAACTTTAGAGGATGTGCATTAGTACATGCTGAGCTACTGCCACCCCAAACTAATGATATGTTGATAGTGGTGAGATTAGGAACTGAACCGGCAACCTTCCAGCGAGTGGGCAACTCTGAAGTAACTCATGCTCAACTGCGCCTCTAAAACTGAAAAAAAATTAACAAAACAAAACATCGTGGTATACAAGAGTCATCTTTATTGATCATTTGTGAGTTCACTTGAATCACCAGACAATGAAAGCAAAAAAACAAAGTATCATAAAACACTAAATGTACCAAACAAGACAATTAAATAAGCATAAAACTGCAGCGTGATTGTTTTTTGGAGGAGGAAATTATGGCAAGTCAGTGTAAGAAAAGTCCATAAGCACATCTGCTCCTGTCAGACAACACAGACGCATTAGGGCCAAAACATTACTTGGGGAAAAAAACTGTTAGAAATCCATTTTGCTGGTAATACAACATGTACTGGTGTGAACTGTGATCCACTTGAGTCATACTTCAGAAGACATTATAAATAGATTTGCATAATGTTTCACAGTTGTGTTGGAATCAATCTATTCCAGATCTACAGACAGGTATAGCGTATGCATAATGTGTAGAAGCAGACAGCAAATACAACCGTGTGTTTGTGGAATACCAATGTGCCCTGTTTCTCTCCAGTGTGTCTCTGTCAGCAAGAAGTGTGATATATCCATGCAAAATGTGAGCCACATATTGCTATAAAAACAACTTTGGATTGAAAAAAGCACCATGTTTTAAAGCTGACTACAGTGAGACAGTCAGTGGAAGTATCAGTCATGCTAAAATACATGTTTTTCTTATAACAGTTACATTTTATAAGAGTATAATATCAATATTACTGTGTGGTTCAGTGTGAGAGTGCCAGTCTATTCTTACATGATCGTATATTACACAAAGTGAACAGGTCTGAAATGTGCTGCTCCTCAGTGACCGTGAGCACAAGGCAAAGTTATACAAACTTAATGTTCTAAGAAGTGTTATTACTTTAACAGAAACTACACAGGTTTTCAGCCATAGCTGGTACCCTCACAAAGACAATCATACATTTGCACTCACATACACTAAAAGAAAGGTGAAGATTATCTTTGCAGCATTCAACCAAGGCTGGTGATATTGGAACGGCCACCAGGGGGTGCTACAATGCGGTGGCCAGACCTTCGTGGGACATTGTCATCTACCTGAGCCCCTGCAAAGAACAGATTTTATTCAGAGTTAATTCTAGGTAGGCATACTTCTAATAAAGTAAAAAATAATAGTGTTGCATACCCGATAGGCTGAAGTTGGACTGGTGGAGGTTGCGTACAGGAGGGGGCTGGTTGGTAGTTGGTGATGTTTTGGCAGAAGGAGATGGAGTTATATATTTGGGCATGGATGGCACTTCATAGACTGGACCATCATAAAGCCCACGGGTCACACCCTTCTTGTTATTCACCTGCACAAAATGGATTACCACATTATTATATTAAATGAACAGTAAGAAAACGTGTACATGCATAATTAAGCAACTGAACCTGGGTTGCCTGTGCCTTAACTTTCATTTCGCAGACAAATTTTTCTCATTTTCAGTATATGGACAGGCCATGTCTCATATAAAAGCTCAGAACTTTTTTCACTCCCTGAGCTGCAGAGGTTGTGCTTGCATAGATTAATGGTTGGCTTCAGGTGCTGAGCTTTTAGGGAGTGAAGATTTAGATTTTAAACAGTTTGATTTCAACATTGAAGCACTGAAATTTGAAAGCAAAATGAGAGACTCTTTTCTATTCCCCTTGAGAACCAAAACACCAAATTATGACCTACACCACTGTGCTATCATGTCGTTTTTTTCTAAGGAAGAAATTGGAATTATTAGCAGTAAAATTAATATTAGGTTGTGCACGTGTTTACCTCACTGGGAACAGGGATAGGTCAAGTTTATGAAAGGTAAAACCATCATCTTACAGACTGTCCCTTTAAAATGACAAAGCAGCCACCCTTGTAACATCATGCACCCGGCTTTTCTTTCTTTCAGTATACCTGGTTCCTGAACTTTATGCGCTGGTAGGCCAAATCAGGGAAAGGCTTGCGTGGAATGAATCGCCCGGTACCCTGCTGAGCCTGTAGTTTTCCGTCCTCATACACCACTCGACCTTGACACAGGACCAGAGCCGGCCCCCCGCGGCACTCCAGACCCTCAAAGATGTTGTACTCAGAGGCCTGGTAAGAGTGGATAAGCAAGACACACAGAGGAAATGTTAAACGGGAATTATTGAGAACAAAGAAGAAGTGCTCTATCATCCCTAACACCATTTACAACGCTGATAGCATGTAGTGTCTGGGGTCCCTGCATCAAACGGCTGGAAGGAAGGGGAGGAGGCAGCTGAGAAAATAGGGGTGAAGGCGGGCGGGCAGAACAGTGACAGTGATTTTGGGGGGATGGGACAGAGTAGGTGGTGGGTGGAGGGGTATAATCCCTCAAAGCAGCAGCAGACTGGATTAGGGCATACGAGAGTGAATATATTAACAACAGTAAGTGCTCTGAGTCACGATGAATTTCATTGTAGTGGGTTTATATTTTAAATAAATAATAAGTAATAAAGTTTGTGGTTTGTGTGGCAAAATTTTATACTAAACCTCAGTCTAGTTTTGTACTATTTTATTGACACTTTGCAGCTGATATCACAAACATTCCTACATACATGAAGCTAAATGAAAGCACTATTCTGTTAGAAGCTTTGTTACTCAATTTAGACATAATCTGAGCTTTATTTTAACACAGTCTGACCAGAAAGATCTGATTTGGTTTTAACTACGACAGGTGAGCTGATTTGTGCTTATCTCACACATAAAATTACAGACAAAAAATAGCTATTAGCCTACAGTTTTTCAGGTAGACACTCTCAGCCTAAACTGGACCTTGAACACTCGTATTCATCACAAGCTCCTGAAAATGTATTGTCTAAATTCATTTTGTATTTTTTCTTGAGTTTTCAGACTGTCTAAAAACTTTTATGGCAGTTATTTTTAATGTGTGCATCGGTAACTTGGTAACTAATGAACATCGCACCATAGAAACACGCACCCAGCATGAGATCATTGCAAAGTATCAATAGTCGAATACAGAATTGTTTGAAGCCCTCACCGACTGCTGGTCTTTGGCAGTGATCGTCTTCATGAGGTCAGGGTCCCAGATGACGATGTCGGCATCAGAGCCCACTGCGATCCGCCCTTTCCGTGGGTACAGGTTGAAGATTTTGGCAGCGTTAGTGGATGTGACGGCCACAAATTGGTTTTCATCCATTTTCCCAATTGCCTGAAAGAAAGAAAAGAAAGAAAAACACCTAAATATGTAATAAAGACGAGTAAAGGCAGAGATACAGTGAGAGCTACAGGACTACATTCATACTGTACTCTATACAACTGTACTATACAACTGTACAACAACGCGTCCTCATGTAACAGATATCCCTTTGTCCTGTCAATCATTATTTCATTTTTCCTTGTGTCACTGGCATCTTGTATATAGATGAGATATATTTGTATAACTATATTTCTATATTTTATTTTTACTTGTACATGTACATTTATATAACTATGCCTTATTTGACACTAGTCTCTCGCTATTTTGCTACTTATTTTGAGTTATTTTTGCCCGTTGGTATTATAATATATTGTGATTTTGAGCTATTGTGTCCAAATAATTTCCCTTGTGGATCAATAAAGTTTGTCAAAGTCTGTAATGAATACTGAATGGTGTATTTTAATTCTGCACACTCACCACAGCCTTGTCCCACACAAACCCCATCCTCTCCTCTACTCCATTGGTTCCTTCTGGGATCAGGGTGAAGTTATCTTTGCCAATGGCTTTTTGGGCCACGCTGTACGCACAGTGAGCACTGCCCACAACTTGTAGGTCCCCACTGTATGAAAAATAAACAGTCCATTTTTAAGTAAATCGTATTTTAAAGATGCACTCTGCACACTGGTACTTGACTGGAGGGTCTGTCATCTGCTTGTCTCCATGGAGCTGTCTCTAGAATGTTCCGCATTATGGCCATAATCTTGTGGATCTCCACTGAGACTTGCAAGCCAAATTATAGGTTAGATTTGTGGAGAGGCCCAATCACAGCATGACCAGATGTTTTTAAAGATATTTTTTAGCCATAAATAGCATCTGTAGTTGAATAAATGCAACACAGATTAGTTTAATATCATACTTTGGACAATTTAAACTAAAGCATTAACATCTCTATGGAGACAAACAGCTGCTGGTTTCTATAGATATGCCACTGCTCTGCTCCGAATGTTCCTCTGTATGACATTAAACAGCTCTACCTTACATGCATTCAATTATAAGTGGCTTTATAGTTCAAAAATACCAAGAGGCATTCTGACTGTGAGCGAAGTTAACTCTCCACAGATCTGACCTGTAACTTGGTCTGGTTTGGTCTCCATGAAGATAGAATGGTTTAACGCCATACTATGAAACATTCCAGACAAAACAATGACAACTCCATGGAGACAAGCAGGTTGCAGACACTCACCAGAAAAGTTACACAATGCAATTTTATGGATGGATGCTGTCAATTCTAAAAGTTATAACAAGAGACGTTGCGAGAGAATGGAGTATGGTTGCATTTCTTACGTAAAGTGATGTTTCTCCGTTTTAGCCACTGGGGGTCCCTAAAGAGCATGTGCATTAAAAGTGTAAGTCTTGTCTAGGCCTAGGGCAAACAAAACAGAGCTGAGCAAACTGGTGCAACACTACTGCAGTACGGCCTTTAAAGCATAAACTACAACACAAAGGAGTTTTATGAGACTTCATCTTATTATGAATAAGAGAGAGTTAGATTTATAACCATCACAATGTGTCACCGAGCACATTCTTTTTGTTAATTAGTCAGTGAATTTAATTTGTGTAATCGTTACAAGTGCTCTGTCCTTGTATCTTGGAAATGTAGCTAAAGACATTTATTTCCAGCCGAATAAGAAATAAGAAAAGCATTATGACAACACTGGAGTGACAGGAAAGGCTCGAGCTTCAGGCACGAGCGGAGGAGACGAGAGGGGAGTTCAAGAGTAGGAGGAACATGGTATCCAAGGCAACAGATGATGAAGGATTGTAGTTCTGGAGCTATTTATGGAATTGAGGACAGTCAAAAGTGAGTAGCAGGGCGTTAAGTTCATGTGAGTAAGTCTGCTTGCTTTCCTAGTGTAATTGCGTTTTTTATTGAATTGACAGAAAAGATATGTTTGAATGTGCTCTTGCATCTGAAGAGTGTTTTGTGCATCTTTATTACTATTATATGCCAAGGAAATCTCTATCTTTTAACGTACCAGGCCAGCAGTGTGCTCAGATGATCGGGGGTGGTTGGGTCTGGACTCAGAGGAGGTGAAGTGACATAAGCTGCTGCCTTTGCCCAGTTCTTGCTCCAGTAGTGAGACCCATCAGTAGCAAGGCCAGCTGTGATTGGCTCCCCAAACACCACAGAACCTAGAAACAGAAATGGACCATAAACTCATTAAAGGTCCTACTCCTGTGGGTTTTAAGCCATGATATAATGTTGTTACCGCCTGTTGTTTTTTCATTCCCATATGTTTGAATAATCCTGCATTATTAGTCTGTCTACATTCCCAAAGGTCAAAATGTTCTGTTCCATCTTATGTGTCATGAAGCAGTAGTTAACAGTTACCTTTTATGTTCAGTAGAGATTGTGAGTTCCAGGGCTAAAATCATCCAAATGATTTTTAGTAAAGAGTTCAAAAACACAGTGGAGAACTTCCTATATTACTGTAAGAGAATTTAAGTAATTTATCTTCCAAGTACATCTCAGTTTAACATTGACACACAAAAGCTATATTTACACAATGATCTTCCCTTGTCATACCATTGGCATACCACTATATAAATTGTGGCATATTGCTGTCTACTGTCTACTGGCCTTCATAATTTCACTAAATGCTGACTAACTGGTGCCTACTGGCCTTCATAGTCTCACCACTTGCTTTATAAACCTCCTCCTTTGGAAGCTTAGTAAGGGCCTTGAACGCTCAAAGATCAAACTATGTTCTCTTTTGAAATCATACTATTTTGATTTTTCAAGTCTCCCCGGGCTCGTATTATTGATGGTAAATAAACTTCTCTTGCTTAAGACATCCAGTTGGTCTCCAGCCTTTTACTTCCACCATTTCCAGGACAAGCTTAAAACTTCGACAACAATTACCACTTGACATCACAAGGTGGAATAGTGTGTTTTCAGTATGAGCCTAAATATGCAGGTTTGTGTGTTAATATGTGTGAATGCAACAAAACACAATTCCATGTACTGTTTGTATGTTTTTGATGAGGAAACAGAAGATAGCATAATATGGGCCTTTTAAGCATTTGTAATCTCCCAGACCTTTTCTCCTGGCTTGTGTGATGGTGTCCGCTGCACTCTTGCTCATGACTTTTGTGATGTAAACTGGACAGTTCACGCGGTTACCCAGGGTGACAGCACGAAACACTGCTTCAGCCTCCAACTTAACAGAATCATAACATTAGAAATATTATATTATTCATATTCATTTTGTTAAAGGTATGTGTTTTTAAAAATCAAACATTACCTCTTCAGGTCGGCTCAGAGGGTGCCCTTCAGGACCAGTGATTCCCATGCCAAGAATTTTACTCTGTTCCTGAAATAGTGTGAAATAATTGGTAAATAAAAATTAACGTGCATGTGTCTATTTATTTAGGTTTATGAGGGGTAGTTTCTATCAGCTCTCAGCTTTATATGACATACTCTGCTCAATCACATGGGCAGTTAGCAGTGCTTCCCTGATCAGCCATTCCCTTCTACATTCTGTTCAAAAGCCAAACACAGGCACTAATTTGAAGCACGTGTTTCGCAAATGCAGGAGATATCATCTTTTGAAAATTCTCGTATCATTCAGAACAAAATATATAACTTATTTTACCTGAGATAAGTAATAGTTCAGTGCTTTGTTTGTTAATTCTGAGAAAAAGCCATTTATGTATATTTAAAAGTGTAAGCAGTCATGTTTGTTTTTTTAAATCAACCTCTGAAATTAGAGAGACAGGATACATCTCCAGATCCACTTGTCTTGGTAAAAATTTTGTTAAAGCGTGTGATTCTGGCTGGTCAGGTAATAGTAAAACAACAATCACACACATACTCAGACTAAGAAAAAGTTTTGCAACGCACCCTTTGATATGCATACATTAATTACGAAATTAATTAACTTTTATTACCCGTCTCTTCAATAAACATCCATTATTTCATTTGCAAAGGGCACACGATAAATAGTGAATATTCGAGAATGAGCCCGCTCCACTTCCACATCTCTCTTGTATTGTTTGTCCTCACACTCAGAAGTTAAAGGTTTTTCATCTTGCTCTGAATTACTGATTAAGCAGCGCATCATTGTAATTCACTTGCTCTCATTAGAATCTATTGGCCTCATTTATCTACACATAGATCATAGTCTTCAGGGTAATTGTCACCTTAATCAGGATCATTATTTCCCAGTGACCGCCACCTCCCTTCATCACAGCTGTCGGCGTTGCTCGCACCCTCACCTTTACCACTGTGTGCACCCATGCTTCATCATCAGCATTAGTCTAATAACTGTGCCCTCATATAAACCTGTCATCTTCAGCAGCTGCACTACCATTTGTTTCCCACTGCGCCTGGAGCTGCAAGAATACAGATGACCACAAAACTTTCAAGTGATAATTATACTGGGTTTTTTTTTTGTGGTTAATATTTGAACTAAAGTTGGCTGACAACAAAAGCGTCCAATATGTATGACTATTTATTGGTTGTAGTCAGCCCAGAAAGTCGCATATTGTTTGAATTTTTACTCATGCAAAGTTGTTCAGTAGTTACTTGAGAAATACGTAACAGCTACATAACACATTTGGATCATTTCATTTATGTTTTAAGGAAATAAATATTGTTTTCAGTCTCTGCTCTGGTTGATATTGGGTATTGGATACTTAAAGGTATAGCATCAGAACTGGTATCGGAACTGAAAAAGAAGGAAAAGAGACACATGGTCTGTTCATGTCAAAAACAAGCACATAACAAGCAGGTTTACACATAAAAGGGGAAAAAAAACATATAAGGGACAGACAAACAACGCAGATTTTTACAGAATCAACAATCGAAAAAATTAAACTATTATTTATCTCAGGTATAAGAAGTGATAAAGTAATATATTTTGTTCTGGATGTTACTAGAATCTTCTGCATTTGAGAAACACTTTTATAAATTAGCAGCTGTGTTTGGACTGTCTCAAGTTTGGACTGAGATTGTTCATGCTCAATTGTCCGGATTCAGTCCCTTCTGGATTTGAAGAGAACGTAGAAGGGACTGGCTGGACAAGCAAATAATAATCTGTATCTTTTATGGACACTTACTTGTGCAATCAGGTCTCCATTTTCAGCATGCACTAGAACAACAGCACCCATTTCCTTCAGAAAGGAGAAGGCTTGATACAGCTAAAATAAAAAAAAAAAAGAAATATATCAGATACTGTCATTACTCACATGCAAATTATACTGATATTGGTAATAAATAACTTACCTCTGAGTCTGTCATCTGGAACACATCCTTATAGGCCATAAACACTTGGAATGAGTTGATCCCTAAGACAGACACCCAAGATAGAAACACTAGTGACACCAAGCGTTCACACACAGACAGCAAGCAAAGGTCCTAATAGATTCTTGTGGGCTCTAAGGCATGTTATAAAGTTGTTACCTCCTCAAAAGCATACTCTGAGTTGTGTTTTGTTTTATTCACACATGTTTGAGTAAACCTTTATGATTAGTCTGTCTACATCTTCAAAGCTTAAAATTCTCTGTTCACTTTTCGATGTCATGTAGAAGTAGTTTTCAAGCAAACTGCTGCCCTTTACCTTTTGTTTTGTAGAGATTGACACATGTATTACCACATGACATGACAAGGTTGAACAAAGTGTTTTCCATTTGAGATTTGTCTAAATATACAGGGTTTTTTGTGTTAAACATATGTGAATGAAGCAAAACAAAAACTAAAACAAAAGCATTATAACATACAGTATACCAGAAAATAGCATTATACAGGCTCTTTAAATTACTTGTACAGAAGCAATGCAGCCTTTTTGGCAAAGAAATTCTATACATTCATGTGAAACAACGCATCCAAGTGAAATAGCAGAAAGATGAAAACTGGGGACAAGAGCAGTTTTCCTGTTTCACAAGTGAAGTGATTTCTGACTTAGAACAGATTACAAGCCTATTCTACAGCCAGCCACCATGACGCCACTGTTATGAAACAAAAGGGTTCTGCTGTAAGAGGATTCAGCACATTTTCTGCCAAACTGCCTCTAAATCTGTCTCAAATGCGATGCTGCACTGGTGCAAAACACAACTTAAAGGGGCACTAAGTTACTTTTTGGTTGGGGGTCGGACACCTTCCTATTTCTGTGGATTTGTCATTGCTCTGCCAGCATGACTTTAAACAGCTCTACCTTACATTTATTAAATTATACATTTATAACTTAAAAATACTTATAAAAACAGCATTCTGACTGTGAGCAGGGTTTACCTCTCCACAGATCTCACCTGTAACTTGGTCTGGTTTGGTCTCCGTGAAAGATTTAATACCATACAGTGAAAACATTCCAGACAAAGCAATAACATCAAAACATCTCCATGGTGAAAAGCATCTGACAGACCCTCCACCAAGAAAAGTTACACCGTGCACCTTTAAGACTTATAGACAAATTTTACCCTTGGAAGAGTGAAATGTACCTTTGTCTTGCACCAGTAGCTCCAGCTCATCTTTGACTGTTTCGTCCCAGTGTGGGATGTCCACATGCAGAGAGTAATCACAGCACGCCTTCTTATCGGCTGCTTCCTGCCAGCGCTCAAACGCCGCCAACAAACTCTGGTCAGGCTGAGGGCTCACATGGTCAACTGTGAGGGAGAGCACAGGTCGTCAAGGTTACAATCTGAGAGAAATAATAACTATGCAAACACAAATTCAAGTTCAGATGAAGGACACATTTAAACAAGTGGAAAAGTATGTTTTTAGTAGCACGTTACATCACAGTAATATATGGTATTACAGGCAAATGTCTGATACACCATATATATTACAGGGAATCTGCGTCTCTCCAAAGAACACTTTTCCATGTATTATCACTTATTTATACACTTGTGAGTGAGAAACACAATTTTGATTATTCATATGTTTCGTATGAAGAATTGACAATAAACTTTTTTGAATTTGAATTTGAAATAAATGAATGACTAAAAGTGAAAGGTAATGTAATTATCCCTAAACCAAAGTGAAGTCTGTAAATTACCAGGAGACACTGTCTTTCTCTAACAGTGTCAGATTTGATTATAAATTAATTATTCAATTATAATGAGTCTGGATGCATAAATTCAAAACAATCCGAAGATTCTGAGTTTTTGTTTTATTATTCTAATCTATATGTCCTTGTTTTTTTCTGATTGAAATACACGCAGCATAACAGTAACACAAATAGACACAGTGTGGGCCTGTGTTGTACCTATGATAAGTTCACACTCACTGATCATAGTGGTGCCCCCGCTGAGGGCCGCCTTGGTGCCCTGCAGAAAGTCATCCACAGGATACGTGTCCAGGAAGGGCTTCATGAAGCAGGTGTTGACATCTATTCCTCCTGGTATCACCATGCGGCCATTAGCCTCGATTACCTTCACATCTCCTGGGACGATCAGGTTCTCTCCTACCTCTCTATAAGGCATTTACAGACAAAAGACACATTAGCTTGACTGGGAAGAATAACAGATTTACATGAATAGAACTGAAAATACTCACTTGATAATACCATCTTCAACATAGACATCAGCAAACATGGACAGGTCATCGTTCACCACACGCCGCCCTTTGATCAGCAGCTTTTCACCCTGTGGTTTAGAGTATACAATAAAAGTGAATTTAGACAACTGCTGTGAAATGACTGAGGGAACATGTTTCACTTAAACATATCACACACATGAAATTCACAGAGGAAGGATTATGTGCATGTGAACCCTCCTCCACCATGGACGACTGAATTGCAAATGTTATGTTTCTATGGCAACCTAAATCCATTCACGGTTTGAAAAAGATATTGCTGGATTATTTTGGATAGGCATTATTTATTGTGTTTATTCTGCTATTGCCTATTACATCGGGAACTGCCATCGCTATGTTGTACAGTCCACTAAACACAATCAACGCAATGCATTTGAGTGCAATTATGTTAGGCAGCTATCCTCTCCTCTTTTCTATCACTATCACTTTTGTTTATTTTCTGCACCACTCTCCGTTTCATTGCCACATCAAATTAAAATAATAATCGCTTTGACAGGCAACGTTAAGTGCACGGTTAATTACAGACAGACGTAGCCCGGAGATGTGTGGCCTCTTTGTCTTCACTCAGTCGGGTAACAGAAGAAGCCTTATGCTCTTTGCCTCCACTCTCCACGCTAAGAATTTAATCCCTTGTGTCGGGATTTGTGGTGCGTCGGCTAACCAGGCTAGCCGGCTCTCTTACCGTCAGATGGGGGATGCAATTCTCCTGTACCGTGCTCCCCGACATCCCGCCGCCTTGTTGGGGTTCTAGCCTCTGACATGTGCTGACACTTGTACTCTATGTTGTGCTTAACCCTTTTGTCCCCCAGTTGCTACTTAGTATTTACGGGTTGGACATCAAAGCCGGTGTGTTTTCGGTGGGAGCGCGGAGGTATGACAGCCAGGAAGCGCGCAGGTGACAGCTCTGTGCGTGCGCGCCTGCTCGTGGTATGGCACACGGGGAAGAAAGAGCGCCCCCAAAGCCCCAACATCACAGTACTCAGTACTTGTGGTGGAGGAGGCCTATGTCAAAACACAAACAAGTGACGCGCTCTGTGCTGTGTGGTATCAGCACCATGTCGAATTGGACAGTTCCACAAAGAAATCATCCATAACAATGCGCTAAGATAATGCAGCTATAGGCCAGAGTAATGATCAAAGACAACTCACTGAAATCCAACCACTGATGACAAAAAGATAAGACCTTGTTTACTTTTAGGCTGTACAATCAACAAATAAATGAAGCCAATATGTAGGCTACTGTGTGCCTTTCCTCATACCTCTCCAAGTAAAGTGTTATTTGCAGTTGAAGCGTTTACTCCGGTGGCACTGTCGCCTCCTTCGTGCTCCACCTGTGCGTTGCTCGGTGGGGCCTCCGGGGCGTTAGCGGGGTTCTTTCCATTGGACTCCCCGGTGTCCAGGAGCCTCTCCCGGCTGCCGCTCCTCGGGGTGCGGCTGCCCTTTCTCCCAACCGCAAAGTCGTCAAAGTCTATGGTCTTGCTGTCAAACGCGCCCTCCACGGAGCTGAACATGCCATAGCTTTTCCTTTGCTTCGGCCCGGTGTTGATAGGGCCCGCCAGATAGACTGGCAGCTCGTCCTCGCGGTTCCACTCTCTCCTGCAGTCCGACATGGCTTGTGTTGTTGATGGACTCACTCCTCCCAAACTGAGACGACAGGACTCCTCGTTAGGGCGTTTCAGAGCCGGGCCGCTGCAGCTCAGCCTCCCTCGTACTCGAGCTGGCTGGTTGCTGTGAGCAATAACTGGTGCTCTCAAAAGTCTTGCACGTTAATACATGCAGTTCCAGCTTTAAAGGGGGCGTTGCCTCATAGTGCATATACTGTATCAGCATAAGACGATCAACATGCAACTCGCAAAAATGCAGAGCTCATTGTGTGCTCGCTCAGTGGGTCAGAGCAACAGAGGATTAGATTAAAGCCCGCACCTTTTAACCCACATCTGGAGCTCAGAGCTGGAGACAGAGCTGAGCCCTCAAGCATGAGCTTGCACTTCCCACACACCAAAAAGTGAAAGAAACACATGATACTTTGTGTTTGCAAGCAGCCAGTGGATACTGATCAAAAACGCGTTCAAAACCTTTATATTTTCAACTAATACGACCAGGCTGGAATCAGAATAACTGACCCCATAAATTCAGTGGCCACACTGTCCTTTCAGCACCGGCGCAGGTGGACAGCTCCAACCAACAATGCCTTTCAGGACGATTATTAAAGTCGTATGTTGTTGTTGAGTTAAAAGGGAAGCCCACCGAAATAAAACTGACCACGAAAATGATGGAGGCAAATTTATAAAGTTTAGCACTTACACCCTTGAATCGCCCCAGTGTTCTGCTGTAGGGTCATAAACTGTTATGCTGTGAATTCACATGATCATTAAATTGATCTAAATTGATAATGACAATAATAGTTAAAAATGTTGATCACTTTTCAGAATTTTGAATGATTCCTGATGTGAATGCCGCTATCATGTCACTGTTCGCGAATACAGCCAATAGCGAAGCAGCAGGCATCATGATGGACATTCGTTATACCCTATCAGAGAAGGGGGCGGGACTTAAAGTTGTTCTTTTTATAAGCACAGACTTGAGACCGAAGTGTCCAGCCGCAGTCACATACGGTGTCTTTGGTTTCATGGAGCCTCGCGAAGTGACATGGGGTCCCACAGGAATTATACAGCTACTTGTTAAATTAGAAGAGACTGACTACTTCGCCATTTAAGGTAATATAATGACTGTTGATCTATTCTAAGAATAACAATAACTTCACTTCACCTAACCACAAGTTGTACAAAAGGGTTTTTTTGTAGCATAATTTGTATGTGTAAGTTGTTTTATGAATTAATTATTTCAAAACCAAACAAATGTGCATTGTTTTTATTTGACAGATGGATCTGACATCAATCCCGAGTGTGAACAGCCAGGGGTTATGCCCTGTTCAGGACAGCACTGCCCCTCCCTCAGCTCCACACATTGTGACCAACCCTACCAGCCTCTGTGGTCAAGAGAACACTGAGTCAGACAAAGCTCCATGCTCCAGTGACTCCCAGGCTTCTTCACAGACAGATGAAAAATGTGCTTCTTCAGATGGACAGGTACCACCAGCTAAGTCCTCCTCTAATCCTAAACCATGTGCTGAAACTCAGAAGACTGCACCAAAGAGACGCACTTTTGCTTCCGTGGCCAAGAAAGTGATCATGCAGGAGAGACTGAGGAAAGCCGAGGAGGACGTGGACGAGGAGGATGTTGGTAAGAATCTTGTTCAGTATTTAACAGTGGAAGGTGCTGCACACTGCAGGCCTGAAGTGCTAAGTCATTCCCAAGTCTAGTAGTTCTAGTAGTTTGGAATAGCATAGTGTGATAATAAGAGTGTAATGGTTGCCCTGTTAGTTTGTGCCACGTGACAGGCCCCATACAGTCTGTGTCAATAATGACATTATGATTGAATCTTAGCCTTAATTTAGAAAAATATGCCTTTAACTAAACTGCAAGACACATTGTTTTTGAGAATGTGGAGACATTTTTATGCTTTTATTGTTTACTTCACCTGCAGATGAAGAACCTGAAGAAGATCTGACAGTGGAGCAACTGCAGGTGAAAGCTGAAGAAGGAGATGCCAGAGCCCAGACTCGGGTGAGAACACACTCTTGTGTACAGACAGTCAGATAATAACACACACTTGTGTAAAGACAGTCTTTTGTATTGTTTTGAAACTCTCTGCCTCTCTCTGTCTGGTTAAGAGAGTATTTTTAGCCTCCTGGAAGATGACCCCGGCTTTCAAAATCATGCACACAACATACTGCCTCAGACATGTTATTAACCACTGGGTACTTTGATTTCCATGATTTTCATCTTTATATTTCCATGCATATGCACATGTACATACACACACATTCAGGACATACACATATATAACGTGACATATTGAACTGCTCAAGCACATGGTGTGAAGTTTTGCTCATGTATGTTCTGTACGGGACATGTTTATGTCACATTTAAAAATAACCACAGGGGTTGTCTTGTCCAAATGGTAAAAGAAGCAATGCTGTTTGTAGGTTATGAGGCTGTCTGCTCCTCTACAACTCTTTTGTTGTAATTATAAAATATTGCATCATGCCTTAAAAGTGTTCAAATGTAAGCATATTAATTTTCTAGTTTTTAAAGCAGCCTAGTTTCCTTGCATAAAGAGCCACATGTGTTCATTATGGCATTAGATTAAAATTGTTAAACATCAGTAACATGATCTCCTGAGGTCTCTGCTGCTCATTCAGGACTGCACATGCTGTCGAGTAACAGCAGCAGTACTTAATATTCCGAAAGGTCAAACCTAAAAAAGTTATGAAAATATCAGTCCCTCCACCTGCAATAACATGTTTCAATATGTCCATATCTTTTTTTTTTTCTGAAGCTGGGTCAGCACTATCTTCTTCTTGCTGATGAGAAGGACACAGAGCAAAACAACCGTTTAGCTGTCAGCTGGCTCATTAAAGCAGCAAAACAGGGAAGAAAAGGTGCTGCCAAGATTCTGCGCCGTTGTTGGATACAGAAAAAAGGTGATTTAAATTAACAATGCCTTCTGAGAAGACAATTATGTATTTGCTCTTGCGACATGTGACTGCTCTCTCCACTAGGGATTACACTTGAGAATGAAGCCGACGTACGAAAGTTGTCAACTGAGAGTAAGTTTGAGCTGGCGGTGCGTAAAGCGGCCATGATGATGTACTGGAAGCTCAACCCAGACAGGAAATCAAAGGTTGCAGTGGCGGAAATGCTTGAGAATGTGAGCCAGGTCAACACAGCTCCAGGTGTATATATATATTTCAATATCAAATGTATTAGTATATGTTTTATAGCAGTTTAGCATCAATGTTATCACTGTGAGTGCATGATATATAGCCATTTGGGACTTCAGTCTTGCAGCTGCTGGGATCTCTATAGTGTCACATTACAGACCTGCTATGTTTGGAACTCACTAATGCTCTGCTCATTTCTCACCAGCAGGTGGCACTGTAAGCAATATTGACGCCCCAACATCCAGCCAGACACAAAAAGTACTAGAGAGCATGGTCAGCAATGAGGGTGAGAGTCCACAAAACATCTCATAACATGTTTCTGTTTCATAATAACATATTTCTACCACCAGCCAAAGAGATGGTGGACCTGGATGACTTTGTTGAGATGACTAAAAACTATGCTCAAGGAATTGTTCAGTCTACACCTGCAAATGATGACAAGGAAACAAATCAATCCGAAAAATCTGGATTTTTAACCAGCAGCTATAAGGTAAATAAGCATGATAGTGAGTTAAGTGTAGTCTGACCAATTATACTAACATTGTTTATTGTATTTTTGTCACTTATGTGTTCTGGATTTGTTAATTCTACAGTGTAAAGCTGAGTCTGCTCCTCCAGTTGGCAGAAAGCACCACAAAAGTACATGGGGTGGAATGATGCTAGAAACCAACCAGACAGTGGCCTTGAAAAGAGCCATGGATATGAAATCACGCTTAGTGGTATGTTAATGTTTTCTTTCTTTCTGCAATTTAATCTAATCAGTAATTCAATTTAAATCAACTTAATTTAAAGGGCCCATATTAGACTATTTTCTGATTTATGTTATAATGTTGTTTCCTCATCACACACATGTTGTTTCTTTCACACATGTTTAACACACACAAGCCCTGTTGCTGAGTTCTTCTCTCAAGCAGAAAACACTCTGCTCTACCTTGTGCTGTCATGTGGTAATACAGGAAGTTCTCCAAACACTGGAATCATAATTATAATAGTAATAATCTCAGGCCTCGAATATCACATTTATGGTTGTTAATTTGAAAACTACAGCTTCATAACATCACAACATGGAACAGAGCATTTTGAGCTTTGGAGATGCAGCCATACTAATAATAAAGGATTGTTCAAATATGTTAATGAAACAAAACACAACTCCAGGTATGTTTTTGAGGAGATAAGATTATAACATTGCTTAAAGCTCACAAGAGTCAATTTTGCCAAATATAGCACCTTTAAAATTTCCCATTTATCCAATGTTATGATATAGATGCTGCAGTATCCATTACATGGGATTATCGAGGTGAAGGAGCGCCTTGTGGACTGGGCCTCTCGAGCTGGTGTGCAGTGGCTGAGCACCATTATTCCAACACAACACGTCAACGCGCTCATTTTCTTCTTCATCATCAGCAACCTCACCGTGGACCTGTTTGCATTTGTCATCCCACTACTGGTTTTTTACCTGTCCTTCATTGCCATGATCATCTGCACTCTGCGTGTATTCAAGAGCAGCAAGGTAAGATACACATTTAAAGGGGTCATATTACGCTATTTATGATCTGCGTTATAATGTTGTTTCTTTCTTACAAATATACCTGGAGTTGTAGTCCAATGAGGTTCATTTGGTCTTCCGATAATTTATGTTGTTAGGTTCTTTTTTCAGACCAAGAGTTTGTTTTCATACCTGACAGTTTCGACTGCTCCCTGCGGTCTTCCTCAGAGTGGTCACGTGATGTTGCTGTGACATGTCCGGTAAGCTGATTTATACAGGTTTTGGTGCTGTCTTCCTAACGGTGGAGGCAGGATGACAGCATCACACACCTGGGATACTGTGAGGAAGTCAGCCTGCAGATGGCACTGTCATCCTGCCTCCACCAGTAGGAAGACAGCACCAAAACCTGTATAATCAGCTGACTGAACATGTCACAGCAACATCATGTGACCACTCTGAGGAAGACTTCAGGAAGTAGTCAAAACTGTCAAGTATGAAAACAAACTCTTGGTCTGAAAAAAGAACCTAATAACATATACCTGGAGTTGTGTTTTGTTTCATTCACACATGTTTAACACAAATCCTGCATATTTAGGCTGAGTTCTTATGTCAAACAGAAAACACCTTGTGATGTCATGTGATAATACAGGAAGCGCTCCACTGTGTTTTTAAACCCCATACACCTTCACAAGATAATTTGCCTATCTCTACAGAAATAAAGGTAAAGGGTAGCTGTTAACTTGAAAACTACTGCTTCATGACATCACAAGGTGGAGCAGAGCATTTTGATGGAAATATAGACAGACTAATAATAAAGGATGATTCAGATGTGTGTGAATGAAACAAAACACAACTCCAGGTATGTTTTTTAGAAGGTAACAAGGTTCTAACATGGCTAAAAGCACATGAGAGTCAGTTTTGTATTGTATTGTATAACATTTTGTGAAATATCCCTTCTGTGGTAATCATATTAGGCTTATGTAGTTTTGTTGTTCTAATTTGCTTTTTGTCTACTAGACATGGGAAAATTTCAAAACCTTGACGTCTCTGCTAACACGTTTTGAGCCTGGGTTGGATGTGGAGCAGGCTGAAACCAACTTTGGCTGGAACAATCTGGAGCAGTACATATATTTCATCATATCAGTCTTCTTTGTCATCTTCTCCTTCCCTGTGGCGGACAAGGGCTGGATCCCTTGCTCTGAGCTCTCCACTGTGGCCATTTTCTTCACAGTGATCAGTTACCACAGTCTCAGTCCAGCTGCAGCAATGTATGCACGAAAAGCAATGCTTATAGAGGTAAGACTGGGTAAATTTTGGAAGGCCCATATTATTGCTATACTATTTTCATATCTATGTTTTAATGCTTCCTTATCACAAACATACTTGGAGGTGATTTTTGTTTCATTCACACATATTTACAATCCAGTCCAATTCAGCTTTATTTGTATAGCACATTTTATAAACAAGACAGTTTCCAAAGTGCTTTACATAGAATTATGTTCCAACCATGAGGAAACTAATAGCATCAATAAATATAATAATAATAATAAAATCAATGAACAAAAATTATAAAATCAATACATAAAAGCAGTACTAAAAAAACAATAAATTAATGAATTAAATAAATAAAAGACACATAAACACATATGTATCACCTAAACCCTGCAAATTGAGGTTTTCTCAAACTGAAAACACTTACTGATGTCATGTGGTAATACAGGAAGTGCTCCACTGTGTTTTTAAATTTCATGCACCTTCACTAGAATCACTAGAATTTGAATGATTTCAGGCCAGGGATTGCCAATCTCTACCGAACTAAACATAAAAGGTAGTTGTTAACTTGAAAACTACCGCTTCATGACATCACAAAGTCGAACAGAGCATTTTCAGGTTTGGACATGTAGACAGACTAATAATAAAGGGTTAATGTGTGAATGCAACAAAACACAATTCACAGCATTATAACATGGTTTAAAGCTCACAAGAGTCAATTTTGCATAATATACTGTAGGACCTTTAAACATAGACTTAAAAATAAGCATAACTATGGAACATCTTTCTCTGTGATTCAGGTGGCATCATTTTTATGTGGCATGACGCAGTTTTTGCCTGAGAAAATGACTGCATTGCGATTACTGGGACACACCTTTGCCACAGTGCCTTTGGGGGAATCTGTTGTGTTCAAGCTCAGTCTCCCCTGCCTCCTCTATGCCTATCTGTTCTTTCTGATATTCAGGTGAGAATCTAACTGTAATTCAATTATCTTTTCTTTGGACTATATGGTTTTGTAAAACTGATTGGATTAATTGTGAATACTCCGTGCTATCCAAGTTGTTGCTTGTTGTTGCTGACAGCCGTATTCTTGGCATCATTTGGTTAGGCATTTATATGTGATTTCACTTCAGCCTAAACCCCTTTGGTCATAGTTTTATGTAAAATGTTTGTCACAGTCTATTAAGTACATGATTAAGTACATGACGGAAGAAAATAAACTACTACTACTACTACTACTACTACTACTACTAGTAGTACTACTGCTACTACTAAATTATTGTCAGCCAATTGGCAAAATTTAATCCTCATCCTTTTTGTAAAATTCAAATATGAGTACATGGGAAAAAGGCAATTTTCACATATGTGCATAATTCATTTTTATTTATTTTTATTTATTTATTTTGAGACAGGGACAGCGCACAATTTTTGCATTAACCTTAACAGGAGAGATGCATTGTACATCAGGTTGTAGCATCAGTGCTAATTTCCACCTGTAGTCCCTGGACAGATTCATTGATTGACTGTATTTAACTGACCTTGACTATCAACTGTTCTGGAGACCTGTAGCATGTTTTGTGTTGATCCTAATCCTCTGGCAATGTCCCATCCAGAATTATCACTGTAAATCATTTTTGTTGTAAGCAATATCCATAAATGCTAAAACAGAACTTAAAAACATTGACACAAGAAGGCTGAATTATTATAATGAGTTGTTTGTGTTGCAGAATGGCCGTGTTGCGTGGATTTCGAGGCACATACTGCTTCCTGGTGCCATACCTGGTGTGTTTCATGTGGTGTGAGTTCTCTGTGGTGCTCCTCCAGCATTCGTCTGCCGTGGGCCTGATCCGCACCTGTGTGGCCTACTTCCTCTTTCTGTTTGCCTTACCTGTTCTTGCCTTTGGCCTTGCTACTATGCTTTTCATCCAAGTCTTTAAGTGGTTTCTGGAGCTTGAGCTGACCAAAGTGATCGTCACCCTGATTGTGTGTGCCATCCCGGTCACCCTGCGCCTCTGGACTCGATTCAGCACCTCCATCTTGGATGTTCTCAGATCTCTGACGCACCGTGGACCTGTCAAACTCATCCTGCTCTGCATCTCCATGGTGCTTTTATTTTTTGCAGTTTATATATATTACGCCGAAGGACAAAAAGTATACAACTCAACTCTCACCTGGCACCAGTACAGCGAGGCATGTGGTCCACCATCTTGGAAGTCTAAAGGAATGGCTCAAACTCAGATCTTCTGCAGCCACCTGTATGGACACAGAGTGACCTGGACTGGGCGCTTTAAGCATGTCCGTGTGGCAGAGACTGAGAATGGAGCTCATTCTGTTATCAACATGCTGCCTGTTTTCATGGGAGACTGGCTGCGGTGCCTCTATGGAGAAACTTACCCTAAATGTGACCCTAAGAATACCACAGTGCCCAATATAACTGCAGGATTACCAGCTGATACGGAGTCTCTCTCTGTGCCGTTACTTCTCAAAATGCAGGAGGAAGAAGAGCTTTGTGAGATAAAGGCTCTGGCCAAACACACCTGCCATGTCAAACGCTTTGATAGTTACCGCTTTGAGGTGACAGTGGGGATGATCTACGAGGGACATCCTGAAAAAGAGGATCCTGCCCGAGATATACTTTTAATGGCCACTCATGAGTTTAGGCAAGTTTTGTTAAATTTGGACCCTGGAAACCTGGTGGAGTTCAGCACTAAACTGGAAGGGCGTTTGGGGGCCAAAGCTCCGGCGTTTGAGCTGAAGGCAATTCACTGTCTGGACTGTCCCTCCTCACTGCTGACAGGAGGAAGGCAGGTGAAGATCGAGAGGAACTGGAGACGCACCACAATGAGAGCCTTAAAGTTTGCTTTTGATTTCTTCTTCTCTCCATTTCTATCGGCAAAAATCTCACCATAAAGAAGACATAAACACCAATAGTCATTGTTTACAATTATTTTTTGTTATAAAAGTAAATGCAACAAAAAATATTTTAAACCCTTAAATCACACTACAATGCAATTATTTATTGTTTGTATCTAAACAGATGCACAACAGAAACAGAAAAATCTAAAACATGATTGAAATTGTTTCCTGAAAATACATGTATGTATTAAATGAACATTCTTTAGACTTAAAATATTTTCTTATAGAATTTTAGCACTGATTTAGCACTCTTGTTGTTTTTTTTTTGTATTGTATGTGTTTGCAAAATTGGCCTTAGGTTTGAATTGTCTTAAACAAATGTTTCTGAATACCAAAAAGAGGAAAAAAGGGACGTTTTAAGTAGAGATCTATCATATTTAATGATCTTTTATAAATTCTGAGTGCTGATTTTGAACCTGCTTTGGATTGTATGTGTTCTTACCTGATGTTAAGAATTTCAGTCTTATATCTGTAACTTTGCAGTTTAACTTTAATTAAACTGTTTGCACTGAAATATCTCATTATCTCATTATCAGTATTTAAACAATAAACAGACAAAAACATGACATTTATTTAGACACATCTCAAGTTTTATTAATGCACATTCCTTTCATTCACCTCTTTTGACTTAGATTTCTTGTATTGTTAGGTTTGCCTTTTTTACAGTATGATAAATACGCGAGTAGCATTAAGTAATGTAACATGCTTCAGCTGTGCACCTCTCACTCGTGTGCATAGAGTGTGATGGTGGCTATGATGAGATCTTAGCTGACATTACAGCTTGCTGATAGGAATCTGAGACCTGCCCCAGGTGTAAAAATCGTTATCACGTTTGCTGTCTCCGGTATTGCTCTTTCAAAGACCAATTATTCGTGGACATGTATTTGACCGTAAAGACTAGACTCGAATCCAAGCCTTACATAAATCATAAGTCTGTTTAAAAGCCAGTGATACATGAGAGACCGGTGGAACACAGTTGATCATTATCTCAACTTTTGAATTGTGATAAAAAGTCTTCTAAGTGCAAACACATACACAACCGGACCACCAACCACAATCCCAATAGGGCCAAGGTCACTTAAAATAGAGCATTCACTGTAAACAATCAAATTTCAAGTTACATAATTTCATCCATCACAACTACACTTTACTCCAGTACATTTTTAGAGTGGCCCCGAGAGAAGCAGGTGGTGCTATGAGGTATATGCTACAGGTATGTGATGATATACACAATGTTGCATGACACATTTCAACCATAAAGATACATGAAAAGCTATTGCACTGATGATCGGACCTGATCTAAATACCTCAGCCACTACTTCCCCATTCACAGGCCCGTTTCTAAAGAACTATTTTTGATTGTTAAACCAAAATGTGCTTCTGGGTTACAAAATCTCTACTGATCTGGACCAACCAATCATTTTTTCTTTGATTGCAATCGCCACATTGTTAAAGATGCTCAATATAACTTTTTGATTGGGGGTCCGTCATCTGCTTGTTTCTATGGATATGTTATTGCTCTGCCTGGAATGTTCCACAGTATGACATTAAACAGCTCCACTTTACATTTATTCAGTTACAGTTGGTTTTAGAGCTCAAAAATATCTCCACAGATCAGACCTGCTTGCAACTTGGTCCGGTTTGGCCTCCATAAAAATAGAAATGTTTAATACCATACTGTGAAACATTTCGGACAAAGCAATAACATCTCCATAGAGAATAGTATTTGATGGACCTTCTACCAGAAAAGTTCCACAATGCACCTTTAAAGGAAATGGGAACAGACCTTGACATAGAAACTGCAACCTCAATACTGCATTCTCCAATACTGCCCAAGCATACAGTTTATGTCATTTGCATTACCAAATTTTACAATCGTATTTCTTTTACAATCATAAATATTTTTTTTCCTGTTATGTCTCTCTGGGACACATAAAGAACAGCATTAACCCTGAAACATCAAATACATAGAGCAGACAATAAAAAGAGAGTATACACTGCAAAAACTAAAATCTAGCCAAGTCAAAATACTTGAATTAAGAAAGTTTCATCATGATTTGAGTAAATTTCACTTGACAAGTAAAATTATCTACCAATGGAACAAGACTTTTTGTACTTAAAATATGAAAATACATCTTGCTACACTTAAAGGTGCACTATGTAACTTTCCAGGTGGTGGGTCCGTCAATATGGAGATGTTGTTGCTTCGCCTGTATGAAACTTTTAATCTATTTCCATGGAGACAAGCACCAAGCTAATTTACAGATATTTTGTGGATTCTTTGTGGAAAAAACAACAAAAAACTAAAACTAGATGATAAGCAAGTTTAATGCTATACTGCGGTACATTCCAGGGAAAACAATCTCCTTAACATAACTCCATGGACACAACCAGGTGCTGGACTTCTACTAGAAAAGTTACATAGTACACCTTTAAGATAAGAAAAACTATTTGTACTTAAAATAAGAAACAAAATCTAACGTTGCTTGAATTAATATAAAAACACACTTGTTCAACTGGTAGATAATTTAGTTCGTCAAGTTGAAACTACTAAAATAAAGTAAAATGATCTCAATTTAAGTAATTTTAAGTTGCTTAGATGTTGCTTTTTGCAGCGTCCATGTGTGTTACTGGAAAAGTCCAAAATACTGTCTGCTGCAGTGCCATTATTGCGCCATGAATAGGACAGTTATTGTTATGATCTCCAAGAGCACTGCTCCTGTGTGAAAGAGAGAAGGGTTCAATGTGTGGACAGTCTTCATTCAGATACTTTAACAGAGTTCTTTTTGCATCATATCCTTTTTCTTTGTCTTTCGGGCATTTCTCAAAAAAGGAGAGATGTCCCTGCATCTCTTTTTAAATGGTGTAGTCAGTCACGGAGGATGAATAATCTGATTTCTAAATGTTAAAAGTGTGTTACAGTTTCTGTGTTACATTGACACATTTGCATCTAGTTGCACCATGACCATCCCTACAAAGAATTGTCTTGTTTTATACGCTGACTACTTTTCATGATGCAATAAATTTACTTTATACCTAAATTAGAAAGAAAATATGACTTTTTGTTTGTGTTGCTTGCTGTTAATAAAGAATACATATAGGTCTGTAATCCCAAGCAACAAATATGTATTAATGCTTAAAGGTACACTATATAAATTCTTAGTAGGGGGTCCGTCACCTGCTTGTTTCTATGGATATGTCATTGCTCTGCCTGGAATGTCCCACAGTGTGACATTAAACAGCTTTAGTGGCTTTATAGCTCAAAAATACTCATATACTCAAATCATACATTCTGATTGTGAGTGGGGTTGCCTCTCCACAGATCTGACCAGTAACTTAGCCTGGTTTGGTTTCCATGAAGATAGAACAGTTTAATGTCACACTGTGAAACATTCCAGACAAAGCAATAACATCTCCACAGACAAGCATTTGACAGACTCTCCATCAGAAAAGTTGCACAGTGCACCTTTAAATATGACCTAATAATAACTTAGGCAGTTGTTCTTTGGCCCTAGGATGGTCCTAGATCAACTAGAACCATTTCAGCAACACCAGAAATCAGATCATCCAAGAGTCCAACCAAAAACGAGTGCTTTTACACAGCAATACATGAATAAGTCAAAGAGTAGTGCATACACCTAACTCAGGCCAATTTCATGTACTGTACTTCGAAGCTCCCTTCCTTGTCATTGCGTTTGTGCATCAGGGTTGACCCGGTCCTGAAAGATGTACAGGTTATTGGTGGCTGCTATGGCGATAATGTTCTCAGCCGGATGCCATGCCATGTGGAGGATTTTCTTGGTGAAGTCCAGGCTGTCCACGCCCACATCTCCACGGCGACGCTTCCCCCCTGTGTACACGCGCCGGGTCCTGAGCACGGCGCGGGGTTTGCTGCTCTCCCTCCACGCCTCCAGAGTCACCCCTCGCCCGGTCTCTCTGTCAAACATCCGGAAGAAGCTGTTGTAGGCTCCTGTCATGATCACACTGACAAGAAGAAGAAGAAGCTCCATTATTAACAGGTATTATTAAATGAAAATAGAAGTGTAAAAGTATAAAGTATATAACATATAAAAAGTATAAATGTATAAAGTATAAAAGAAGCGTGTCTGTGTGATGTCTGTGTCATATTTTGGTTAGGGATGTTCTGTAATTATTTTAAATGATGAAATAGATAAGCAGTAGATAAACAGTTACGAAACACACTTTTCCCATAGGCTGTTTGTCTTTTAAGAAAAAGTATATTTTTGGTTAGTATCAGTTAATACAGGGTATTGGCAGATACTTAAATCCAAAATGTAAGTCTTTATTTATATAGCGCTTTTCACAGACATTTTTTGTCACAAAGACACTTTACAGAGCATTACATTCAGCATTATTCATTCACTCATTCACTCTATACCTGGTGATGTTAAGCTACTGTTGTAGCCACAGCTGCCCTGGGGCAGACTGAAGGAAGCGCGGCTGCCATGTCAATCGGCGCCAACGGTCCCTCCGACCACCACATCACTCACGCACACACCACTTTCATACTAGGCAATGTGGGTGAAGCGTCTTGCCTAAGGACACACAATGATTGAATTGACTGTATTTTAACTGCCCTTTAACTATCAACTGTTCTTGGAGACCTGTAGCATGTTTTGGGTTGATGGAGGAAACCAAAGCACCCGGAGGAAACCCACCCAGACACGGGGAGAAACATGCAAACTCCACAGAGAAAGGCCCGGGTGACCCGGCGATCAAACCCAGAACCTTCTTGCTGTGAGGCATGAGTGCTAGCCACTCAGCCACCGTGCTGCCAAATATTGACATTAGTATCAGAACAGTAAATGCTGGATTGGTGCATCTCTAATATTGGTTTATAAATTGTGCAGTACACAAACCTGATCAAATCACAAATCACTACATGGGCTCAAAAACACTTCTAATTTATCTAATTGCAAAAGGCTGTTATCTGTGTTTTGTTTAAACAGCTACAACAGAGGACACATGAAATGAAAGATGGCATGTTGCCAGTTCACAAACACTGTCACAAACACCGTTTTCAGTGTAGTCAGAAAGAGGTTTTAGCTTTTAAGTTAGTTCTTACCTGTCTGAGCTGTTCCAGACGCACTCAAACTTGTCAAAGATACAATCGTTTTCGTAAAGAGAACACAACTTACTCCTCAGATATTCATGTACCTACAGAAAAACATCAACTGTCAAAATATGTACAACATTCATAAAACATTAAGTAGTAAGATCCAGTCAATCACTGCATACTACAGCCAAATACTTTAGCATCCAATAGGGACTGTGCAAAAAGGAAAGACATAATAACTCCTCTTATTTCCATTAGATACACAGCAGAGGTACAGATGCCAGCTCACAATTACAGTGTTACTTCACCTGGTACGTCTCCACTGGGCCCTTGTCCATGTGTAGGTCCCACACCTTAGCGGTGAGGTAGTCTCGCGTAAGCATGTAACGCCCACTGTGGCTGAACTTGACATCCGACACAGAGGAGATGATCTCTGAGAAGAAGGACCGGCTTCCTGGATCCTCTGGTTCCTCATAAACTAAATAACAGTAAGATAGATAGATAGATAGATCAACTGAGTCAAAGTTTGTGAAGAGCTCATGTTTAAAGAGATAATATGTTTTTTCTGAGTATCATTTTATATTTTGATAATTGTAAACAGCAATATTCATCTAAAATAACTAAATACAGAGGCTCTTCATAGTAAAATTTCACTCTAGCAAGCAATGGATTTTGATGTACATGTGTTTACAGTTAAAAATTACTACGTGACATTATTATCCCTACATGTATGAAGTTCTACTAATTACACAGATGTGAGTGGACATGAGGTGAAAAAATAGATTTTCAAAGTACTCAAGCCTGAAATTATCAAACAATCAATGGAAATACAACTTTGAGTAAACTAATGAGTACTTTTATAACATGATTAGAAGCTCATAAAAGTCAAATTTACATAATATGAACTCTTTAAGATTGAAAAACAAAGTCAGATTTGTTTCTTACTTTTGGCATGCTTGTCGCACAGTGCAGAGGCCCTCATATCACACAAACGCAGCGTGCCCTTACTGCTGCTGTACACAAACAGGTGGCAGTGGTGCGGGTGGAACTCTGCTGCTGTTATCACCTCTGTCAGGTCCTCCATGTTGGCTGGTTTAATATCAACAATATCTGAGATGCACAGTCAAGGCCTTATAACACTTACAACACTATGACACTATAACACAAGGATCTATATTACAATATTTTCCGATCTATGTTATAATACTGTTTCCTCATTAAAAGCATACCCAGAGTTTTGTTTTGTTTCATTCACACACTTTAAACACACAAATCCTGCATATTTGGGCTGAGTTCTTCTCCCAGACAGAAAACACCTTGTTCCACCTATGCACTCTTCACCTGAAACATTTGGATAATTTCAGCACTGGAATTTCCAATCTCACATAAGGTGGAACAGAGCATTTTGAGCTTTGGAGATGTAGACATACTAATAATAAGGATTACTCAAACATGTGTGAATGAAACAAAACACAACTTCATGTATGTTTATGATGAGATAACAACATTCTAACCTGACTTAAAGCTCACAAGAGTCAGTTTTGTGAGCTTTAAGGCATGTTAAAGGCATGTTTAAAAACACATATAATGTTTTTATGATGACAGCATAACCCAGAATAATCTTAAGCCTTTACATCAAATTCAAAATAGTGAACCCCAAACACCCCTTTAAGCAGACAGCCCTCCTCTTGACTGTTCTATTTGCAGCAGTCCTGTGTGGTTCAGTAGAAAGTGTACTGCTGAGTAAATTATTTAAATTCCTCCATGGATGCATCTCTGATTTTCTAGGTCAGCCTCTTTTCAAACGGGAATCAACCGCACGCACCCTGGCCGACATACTACTGCCTGCTTCTCTACAAACACTGTATATAATGGAATCAGAGGCAAACCTATTCATGTTCTTATTAAAAATGAAGGAGGGAAACTCTAAGAAAGCTTTGAATCCTACTACTATAGCCACATTTCAGAAAGAAGATGCATATGTTTTTAACTGGGATTTCCATGGGATACCAGTTGCACAGAATGAGCAGTTTTTTTTTGCCAGATCCCCATTCTCCTAAATCATTTACATCATTTTGTATGACTGGGGTGAGCAATGTGAGTTACACGACAGGGTCATGGCAGCATGAGGTTGGAGGAGGTTTTGACACACCCAGCCTTTGGTTATTGGGCGAACGCTCAATCCAGTGCGCCGTGTTCCAAAAAAATGCATAGGTTTATATCTAATAATCAAATCAAAGTTCTTATTAATATTAAGTAGAAGCATGCCCTTTCAGGCTGTATCTGAGCTTTGGGATGGAAAAAATTCCAGTTGTATTATGTATTATAGAGCAGTGTATGCAAGCACTAACCAGAGGGTACTTGGAATGATTTCAGATTTAAAAGAAAGGTGGTACTGAATGGAATATGACTGTAAATCATTCCTTGTAGTGCATTTTACATCCTAAAGAATGTTTCTGTAGGATAATTTTGGCACTGAGGTTATGGTAGGTTATTAAAACAAGAAAATATTTTAGTTATAATTGGCATTGTACTAATAAACACACTTATAATTACTGAAGAACCTATTATACTGTTAATAGGGGCTTCTCAAGAATGTGAGATGACGCTTAGTGAGACAAAAAAGGTTGGGAACCTCTGTTATAGAGTTTGTCCTGAAAATAATGTTGATGGTCATATTGATGAATGGAAAAACAAATGCTCATATGTTTGATCATCATAAACACAAATAATGCATTTTAAAACAGAATTTGTTAAACAATTGCAATTTTCCTCATTAAAAAGTCTTTAAAAAGGATACTGAAGCTACGGTCTGTGATGCCCAAGTGCCACATATTGATGCGTAGGTCATCAGCAGACAGGTACGTCTCTCCATCACTGTTGACGGAGATAGAGTTGACGTGATATGTATGCCCATTTGAAAACACTCGTCTGGGTCGCACTTCAACCATCAGATCGGTCGGTTTCAGGACAGGCACCTAGAAAATATATTTTTTTTTAAATATATATATATGAGTAAATAAAAACACATACAGAAAAAAACAACAGTGACTCTGTTCAGCTGTCTGTGTGCATTTGTACCTGCAGAGAGGTGATAGTGGAGACGTCCTTGATCCTTCCTTCCTCATCTTTCAGGTTATAACCTTCAGGTCTCTTGTCTCGCTCACTCACCTTCCACAGTTTGATGGTCTTGTCTGGTACATAAAATAATACAATATTGTTATGAGCAATTAAAAATGAAATGTAGTGAAACAATAATACAAACTGGTATTTTAGCTGATAAGTAAGTTCTATAAAAGCACAAATACTGTATGAATACAAGTAGCCTTTTGTAGAAGGCATTTTAATAGCAAGACATAGGCTTGGATTTCATTGAAGTTAAATATTGATGTATGCTTAAATGGTATGATGGTTCCTGTCTGTACATACAGTACAGTCCTAATTTACACCACATAAATATTAAATAATAATCTGTGATGGCAAGAATACTGTATTTAGTTACAGAACACAAAATACCTGCATTAAAATGTATTTTGAAACATATTTCGTTACATGGTTCAATCAGAGGTTTGTATTCTGAACAGTTAGAATACTACTGTAAAGATGCAATTTAGGATTAAAAACAGCTTTATAACTGTTACATTTCCCATCACTGATTGGAGATGTTAAAATCATACTTGCATTAACCATTGTTTTCTAATTTTCTCACTAGTTACAGGCAGTTTGAAGCCTACATTTTGTGATTAAATCCTGCAATGTGATGAAGTACTGCAATTGATTACTTTGATTTGCATAAAGTAACTGTATTGTGAATACTACCAAATGAAAAAATAACTGTACTAGAATACAGGAACCCAAAATTAGTATTCATAATAAGTTTTTTTCTGTACATGTATTCAGTTACTTTCCAACACTATCCATTACAATAAATTTACTTTCAAATGCCACATTTCTGTCTGGTATTGGATGGAAGGATAAGGTTTCTTTATCTCTTCGACTATTGCAGGACTAATATTTATATGAGGAAGTTATATGAGTATGCATGCAAATGTTGTGTAATGTTAGAAATCTTTACATATCAGCGTAGGCACATGGGGGATTGTTATTCTAAACATATACCATTGGTGGAAAGAAGAAAATGTGCTGCATTCTGTTGTGGCAACCATCGAATCTTGTTGATCTTCTCTTCGATCTCCAGACTCTTCAGATAGTCGAAGTCTGGCTCATGGCTCTGAAAGGTGCTGTAGACATTGTACTCGCCTGAGTCCCCTGTCTCTCCAACCTCCTCTGACTCCCCCTTGGACTGTTCAACACAAATAACAACAAAAGATATAGTATTATTTGAGATATGTTATACTCTCAGATGGGGGCAAGAGTCACAATTGTTGAACCTAGTATTTTCAATGATTGACTAAACCCAAGAACTCACTATATTACAACATACCTCAGCATGTTAACAATATTCATTTTAGCTGCCCCCACCTGTATTAATTAATATTGGCTTATAGAATACTGTGATGTCATCTGAAAGCCAGCAATACGTGTAGATTTATGATTTTAAAAGAAAATTATCACATGATTAAAGTGACAACATACCTCAGTCTCCCTCTGGAAGATGACCACTCGGCCACCTTTGTCGCCTGTGGCCAGCAGGTCCCCTGTCTGGTTAAACTCCACAGTAGAGATGACATCAGCTGGAGGAGGACAGGAGTATCAGAGGCAATTATACTGTAATTGCACTGTATAATGGTTAGCATGAAATGGCACAAAAAAAAAAGACAAAGCCAAGTACAATACAGCATAAATATAGATGCAACAAAAGACCTCAGAGACAAAGAAATGGTATGTGAATAAAATGAAAAAGAACTGCTGCTGAACTGTGTATCCACTTACAGTATACACTTCATGATCTATTTTAAAAACATTTGGAACATTTGCAATTTGCAAAAGAAAAATGTTAATAGCAGTCAAATATTTTAGATCAATTTGCCAAGTCATGTTCACGCTTTAATTTGTATCCAATTACAAATACATTCCCCATAGATCCCTTTATATGGATTGGACTTTGCCACTTGTTCAGCGAGGATGCCCTCTATATAAAACTGTCCTGTCAGAGCAGAGGGACACTTGACACCAGTGAGACTTTGACTCTGAGATCACGGTCATACCTTCGGTGACGTAGTCTCGTAGGAAGGTGTGGTTAATTTTTGGGCTCTCAGCGTCCTCTCCCATCTGAAGCAGGGGAAGGCTGACCTGCCAGCACGCCTGGCCTGAGGGGAAGGCTCCAATCCGTAGTTTCTCTTCCCACCCAGACTTCGCCCATGCTGCTGGGGCCTAACGGAGCAGCCTGGAGTGAGGCATGCTGGGTAAACTCTCAACCAGCAGAAGATGAGGTTTAGAGAGTAAGGAGTGAAGGAAAGCAGAAGTTTGTCTGGGGAACAGGGGCAGAAGAATGAGAGAAACTGGAAAGACAAAAAATATTTCATTTAGAAAGGAAGTATGATGATATAGCCATATGTGGCATTTATACATTCAAATTCAGAGACATGAACATATACATTATCAGTAAGTGGATGAAGTAAGGTTAACTACACAGAGTACAAGCACAGCACTTCATTTTAATGACATGTGAAGGATGGGAATAAAAATATGCCTCTTCATCACTCTATAGCTCACACCGGTAGTAAATATAACCAGGGTGTGGTGGTCATGTGTGCAGAATGTACAGACACAGCCTTAGCCTCAATCACACAACTATCAAATACATGCAGTACATGGTCAGTTATGGTAAATTAAGGACTATCTGATACCAGATGAGTGTAGTGCAGATGAGAAAAGAGACAGGCCAGAGCACACCTACCAGTGGGCCTGCTGCTGCTGCTGCTTCTGCTGCTTCTGCTGCTGCTGCTGCTGTGTGTGCGTCCTCTGCTGCAGTGCCAGAGCAGGCCTCTGTCACTGCTCTCGTCGACACAGAAGAACAAGCAGGTCACAATCCAAAAACACAGGGATGGTGGCAAGAGGAGGACAGGCTGAAGGATGAGAGAGAGAAAAGAGAGAAGGAGAGGGATAAAAGGGAGGATGGAGGTGCTGAGCCTGCTGATGCTGTGGAACTGATTCTGTGCAGCATCCAATGTGTCATGGCAGCCTCCTCTTCCAGCAGCCAATTGGAGCAGAGCTGTCAGTGGCGCACACTCCCACTGCAGGTGATGGCGCAGGCACAGCCACCAGAGGGCGCTTTTGATCATTTAATGCTGAGAAGGAATAAAAACAGAAATAAGGTAGGCTACATTGTGCGTCAATCATTGTGCGTAACAACTTATCTTAAAAAATCAAGGATAAAAACCTAACATTTAAATTGTCTATATTCCTTTCTATACTCTTTCTATACTTTTGTACTCCTACGGATAAGATAACAAAATAAAATGCTATTATTGCCTCTTTACAAGGGCTACATTTATTCAAGTTGACTTAGACTTAATGTTGCTATATTTGGAAAATGGATAGACTACATACTTGGAAAACACGCAATGACAACACAAAATGAGCGCATTAGATTACCTCGAACTTCCTCCAGTGCGTCAGCAGCGTTGGACTGACTTTTTCTGGTACTTTGTCAGGAGTAAAATCAGCTCTTGATCGATGAATTATGAGTTTAATTGAGCTCGGGGATGGCGTGCTTCCACTCAGAGGCGCGGAGTCCATAGGCCTACATTACACACGGACAGGCCTACTAGGTCTTTGCCTGAAGCTATGTGTTCATAACAATTAGAATAATAAGCAAATGTTAGAAAGATAAATTGTGCTCAGAATTTTAAAAAGGCAAATATTGTTTGTATAGCCTCCTGTGATGCCCTAGTCCAACATATTGATTAGCAGACAGGTAAGTCTCTCAATCATTGTTGACAGAGAGAGTTGACATGATATGTATGTCCATAGATCTGTAGGTTTAAGGACTGGCACCTTTGAAACTGAAAGAAAAAAAATAAGGGTTCCACTTTAAATTGAATTTCTGAACTTGTCAAATGCGGTTGACATTCTCTCTGATAAACACATTTTTGTTTGTGCTTTCTGAGTCTGTTCCATGTTTGAAGTTTCCCCACTGCACCATCCCACATTACAAACTCAGTCTCATCTCTCAGAAACCTGGCCCGGAATCACAGTATGTGAAGGGCTATCATAATGCTCTCCGGATATACCCATCTTCCCTTATCCATCCACTTCAAAGCCTGAAGCCTCTGGGTACATAGACAGCTGCCCATGGACGCTGGCACTGCTAGAGGGAGTCGCATGTTAGAGTTACCACTAAGACCGCTGCACTCTCATTGGCCAACAACAAAAGTGATGGCAAGATAACACAAGAGGCTCTGATTGGTTCTACTTCACTGGAGTATTTGAGAAAGTGCAGTGTCTTTAGTGAGGAGCAGATGAAGAGGAGCTGATGAAGACTGTCGTGGACTGTTGGCTACATGGTCACATAGGGTCACACATGAACCTCAGAGATGTGTCTGAGGTAATTGCCACACTGTGGAAAGTTGGATGATGTTGTTGTTCAGCTTAATCCCCGATGATGCACCAGCCTGAAATCCTTTTAAGAAACTTCTATTACTCATTAAAACTCCTGTATTACGCAAAATTGACTCTTGTGAGCTTTTAGCCATGTTAGAATGTTGTTACCTCATCAAAAACACCTGTATTTAGTTTAATTTACAGAGTTATCCTGAATTATTAGTCTGTTTACATCTCCAAAACTCAGAAGTTGTATGGAGTTTAAAAACACAGTAGAGCACTTCCTGTTTTACCACATGATAGCAAAAGGTGGCACAGAGTGTTTTCAGTTTGAGAAAAGAACTAAGACTAAATATGCAGGGTTTGTGCTTTAAAGATGTGTAAATGAAACAAAACACAACTCCAAGTAGGTTTTTGATGAGGAAACAACATTCTAACATTGGATCAGAAGCTACGTAAGGGCCCTTTAATCTGAGCTTTGAGATAGTGTTTGACTAGACTGACTAGCAGAGCTGGCAGAGCTGTCTGGTAATCCTTGAGTTAGAAGGTGTGTACAGATGCCTTTCCTTCCATTCGTGACAAATGTTTTTGTAGTTTTAGTCTTGTCTGACACAGTAGTGTTAATGTGCTTTAGTAAGATATTGTCCATATAACTCAACACAACACAACTTAAATTTGTGTCTATCCCAAACTAAAGTAAAATAGGGATTGTCCTATCTATGTCCAATATTTCCTTGCTCTTTTTGACTGATTATACCATTATATATCAGTGTTTATTCATTAGGTAATCTCTATTCTCAGTCCTATTTTCATGTTAACACATTTCAAACAAATATTAAAATATTTGTGTCTAGTGAGCAGATCATATTTTTTGTTAACAGAAAAAATAAATAGGCTACGCAAAATCTATAGTCTGAATTAATGGAGCAGTTTTGTTTTCTGGGTATTGGCAATGTGCTCTTTTGGCCAGTAGAGGGCAGCAGTACGCATCACAGTGACAGCTCTACTTGACTGTTCAGGGAGAGGGCAGAGGAAGTAGACGCTGGAGCGGAGGAAACATGGCAGGGCGCGTAAAAAGAAAAACTAAACCTATTCAGGTAAAATCTGCAAGCCCCGGAACGACTATGAATTATTCTTTGTTTATTTTAAAGGCTTTTCAAATGTACGGACACGTTTTAGGCATATGCAGATTTTCAGACGATGCGATTAGCGGTTGGCTACAAGATTTGGGCTGATCTGTTACGCGTGATGTCCGCAGTGGACACACGGCAATATGGCAGTGCTGCAGTGTGCTGTTGCTTTGTGATTCCTTAAAATGACATGCCATGTAACTTGGTATTATAATTGTATATCATTGCTTGTTTTGATAGTAGCTTGTGCTAAATTTAAGCTTTGGTCGAACGTTAGATTCATTGGTGTGTTGGTTAAAGGGCACTGTATGATGAAAACAACCAATATGTCATTTATTTCTCTCTATTCTGAAGGATTGCGTTACAGAGAATGGAAAACTGAAGAAACCTCGCACGAATGAACTGAAAGACCTTCCCACATCAACTATAACTTGTCTACAACGTGATGAAATAAAAGAACTTTACAGTCTGGAAATGCCTGAAGATTTGTACCACTTTTGGGACTTCTGCAAGGAACTCTGTCCAGACAACCCCCGCGGTACATGCCAGATAATACCACCTAATTACTTATAATAGAATTTATAGTCTATAATGCGGTTTTATTTTACAGGTGCATTAACAGAGATTCTCGGGTTACAGCTGGTTGGCCCTTTTGATGTTCTGGCAGGAGCTCACAAAAAACTAAAGACCAAGCCAAACTTAAATCTTCATTGGCGATACTTCTATGATCCACCAGAATTTCAGACTATAATTAGAAGTGATTGCAGCCAGCTTCACTTTGGCTATTACAGGTAATGGATGAATCATGAATAAACTGTCATCATAGTTAAACCTGTCACGATATCAAAGTGCAGTATATTGTTGATGTAAATATAGATGATAAACAATAATACTGAAAGCAAACTTTCAGCACAACTCAAGAATTTGTTCTTAATGTTTTGCCTGGTAAAATAAAGGTTAAATAAATAAATAAAAAACTATAAAGCAGAATAATTCACAAAAAAGAATTCTAAATGTAAGATATTGTTAAATACTGTTGAGCTGTATAAATATATAGCAGAATGCAAAACTTAAGTAATTAGTTTATGTAATTTTAGTTCACAATTCAATCTTCTTCAGCTCAAATCTGAGGGTACTGGAGAAAAAAATGACCAAAAAGTATCCACTACAACAAAGATAAAATAACAAAGTAAATATTGATCACCAAAAATGATTGTTTCACTTATAATGAATTGAACAATAAGTTGATATAGTAATTATCATGATAGGCCTAATTGTGATTTCTAACGTCAGTTTAAATGTACAAAATTTGATGCTTTGCAGAGATTCTCCGGATGCATTTCCATCATTCGTCGGAGAGAATGATGCCAAGAAAGGCTGCACTATTACACAGATGGGGGAAAATGTGTTTGCTGCTGTTTAGTAAGTACAATTTTATAATCCTGTTTTGTAATTGATCAATACAACCTTTGGGTTAGTGGGCAAACATTCAACCACTGACCCTCTGTTGCCATGTTCGTCTTGCCATACTATCATTGCAGTACTTTAACTTTCATAGACACTGTAACCAGTGTGCATTTCTTCTTCATTAGTTTGTTTCTACAGCGGAAAAAGAAAGAGAAAGGAAGTCAGAAGCCAGGTTTGGAAAGCCTTGAGGAAAATCTACAAGACAAAGCAGACATTCTGGGGTTTTCACTTGAGCAGAAAACCAAAGACATGAAGCAAAGAGATAAGAAGGTACACACACAACTGATGTCATCTATAAGAAATCTTTTTAAAACAATACATTTGAAATAATACAGTTTTACATTGTTCAAATCAGATTACAGGACAATGGATATTCAGCACACATAAATGGTTACATAACTTCAGATTTTAGAAACTCTAATAGATTATTGAGAACTGTGTTGTTAATTCATTTTGTAGGTGGTCACCAAAACATTCCATGGTGCCGGCATAGTTGTCCCAGTTGATAAGAACGATGTTGGATACAGAGAACTACCGGAAACTGATGGTAATCTTTCTTTCTGTGTGGGATGTTACGTAGGCCTGTCACGATAATTAAAATATTGAGTTACTTGACTGTATGAAATATATTTTGGGACTCAATATTTATCATGTGGAGAAATTTCTTTGCAATAAAGAGATTTCTGTAATTTTTAAACAGTAATGTAAGATTTGAGCTTTAACTTCTATGGCTGATTATTGGTTCCTTCTGCTATTTGTTGTTAGTGATACTGTCTGTTTAGAAATTGGTTTAAACTGGGATTATCCTGCTTTGTGTCAGTGGCTTAAAGTAGTTTCAATATTATTGTTTATCGCAATATTTCTCTATAGCAATATATCGCGCTTCAAAATGTGTTATCGTGACAGGTCTAAAGTTATGTGGGATTTTCAGAGTTTTAGTAATGTATGAATCATCTGCCTTTTTACTGATTTAGCTGGGCTTAAGAAGATCTGCAAAGCCATTGCTGAAGCCAAAACTGATGAAGAGCGAATTAAAGCATTTGGGCCTATACAAGAGATGATCACTTATGTGCAGTTTGCTAATGACGAGTGCGATTATGGCATGGGTTATGAACTGGGAATGGACCTTTTCTGTTATGGATCTCATGTAAGTACTTCAATAACGGGTAATGACAATATATTTAATAATAATAATAATAATATATTTTCCCCATCAGTATTTTCATAAAATTATCAAGCAGCTTCTCCCAATGGCCTACAACTTACTGAAGAGGAGTCTGTTTGGAGAAATTGTTGAGGCTCATCTCTCAAACCGTAGTCAGGAACCTATGGACCAACTGGCAACCTAAAAAAAAAACAAAAAAAAAACTACACCTGTTAATATGTTTCTCAGTGTATATGTTTCTTTTTCTGCATTTGACTGTGTTGACTGTGACTGTAATATGTGGTGAACTCTTAAGTTTGGAGCCATGTCAGTGATGCATTCATAGTGTGTGGAAAGTATCAAATTCTAATAAAGATTTTTTTATATTTTTACCCATGCTCTCTTTTAAAAATATGAATCTCCTACAAGTGGGGTTGTTATGATTTATAAAGGCCTAGGTATACCTAGATAAAAGTTGAACAAACATGCTAGATATCCCACTCAATGCACTGTTGAAAGTAACACAGTGTCATCTAGGGAGACCAGATCTGTAGTATTTAAATTTTACCATTTTTAAAAATTGTTTTAAAAAATAGCTTTTAGCAGTTGAGGGAGACCGTTAAACCGTAACCAAAGGAATAAGAGGTCATATTGGCTAGCATGCATGTGGGTGCTTTTTATCTTTTTATGCACCTGATCCAGACCTTTAGTTCTAGAATATCGTAACAAATTAAGTAATACGTTGACACGAGTAGCTGCGTTTAGGGGGCATTTAATTTTAGTGCAGTGAGATTTCTATGAAGTATGAGCTTGCCAATACTTTATTTTTTTATTGAGCCTATTTAATACCAGTGTTTTCCTCACACCGACCTTAATGGTATTCTATTTTGTTTTACTTAGCCTATCTACTTCTTTAGTGGCAGGTCCAGGCCTACTCGGTTTAATGGGCAGTGTCAATGACGTTTCCTACTGCCCTTGAATGCAGCAGAGATCCTGCGGAGTTTCGGGGAAGCGCATCTGCGGCGCGCTCACATTTCCACACACACAGACTCCAGCAGACCTCCGGAGCATCCTTCAGCTACACACGGACACGTCCTGATCTGCAGCTGAGCTCACTGCACACAATGCTCCCAGGGCCCAGCGAACCTGCTTAATCCTGAGGCTCGAAGAGAAATCACCTTGCCCCGGCTAAAAGACCCCCAGTGACTGTGGCGGCTGCAGCTGCGAGCCCGAGCCATCATGTCAAGTAGTAGATCCGAAGAAAGTCTCTTCAGGGGCGGCGGCTCCGACCGGGACTTGAAGATGGCCTCTTCCAGCAACACTTCTCCGGAGGGTGGGCCCCCCGCTCCTCTTCACCAGGGCCGGATTCGGCAGGTGGGTGTCTGCAGTCCACTCTCTGCATTGACTGGCCCAGTCAGCCGTGTAACTAGTGCTCACTGGCAGTGCAAGCTCTCTAAGGCGGTGCCTTATTTTAATAGATCCATGGCTTTAGCACATCGCCACGGTCCAAATTAACTGTTATGTGTTATGAAATATCTCTTACGTCAGTGGATCAAACTGCTGTGTAAATGACATGTTTTCATACAATAGTGTAGAGATCTGGGCTTGCATGTTATAGCGATCAAAGTAAACACGCTGCTTCTAGAGAAATGCATAACTGAAGTAGCTAGATCCATGTTTTTCTTGGCCTATTAAAAGAAGTTGGCATCACACCGGTGAGCAGATGCTTGATTAGCATGGCTTATAAAACTACAAGTTATATACTTGATTTAAAAGGTCTGTAGACGTTTTACATTCACACACCCATCTCAATAGGCTTTCACTTAGCTATTGAGCTATCTTTTGGCTGGTGTGAGTGCATTTGTTTACTAGTTTGACACCTTTGAAACTTGGCCTTGATATGACAATAACAGTGTAACTGTGTCTTTGATACAACCTTGGTACTCTTGGTATCACTGGACTAACTCCTCATGTTAGTGTTTACATGTGGATCTTAGAGCCTGATGCATAAGAGTCATGCTGAGTCAGCTCTCTCATCACAGATGTCTATAATTATGAAACGTGATAAGACCATGGGCAGCAGGTGAAGTCTTAATTAATGATCTTGTGTTGGGTGTATTTGATGACTAGAGTCAGGAGATGGTAGATGGTGGATTGTTTCCTGCTTGTGCTCTCTTTGGCTAATGTGATTTCAGTAATGGACTCTCGTGCCATACACACACAGTCAAAGCAGACAGAAATACACTAAGACATACAAGCTTTGTCTTTGGGTGGGGCCTCTGATCTCATCCAGCCAAAAGAGTTTCTTACAATGAGCTCCAGTTTGGAGATTTAACTGGAGTATATGTCTCTGTTATAACAAAACCTTGCAGCTTTGGCATCTAAGAGTTTTACCTTGTGTCTTTACTATGTGACATTTGCCCTTTTAGTTGTTTAGGATAAGACTCTCTGAATTAATTTAAGAGACCACTGAAGTTGACCTTACTGTGACGAAAGATCAAAGTGTTGTAAAGCTCTCAGTTCCCAGGCTAAAAATACTGCACTGTCTGTCTCTTGTGTGATTTTGCAGTAGAAAAATGGGCACTTCCATGCCCAGTGTTTGTGTGTGAGCTCAGTGAACCTGTATCACTGAGCATTAGTGCTGTTGTCAGGCAATACAGCCTCAGTCTGCTCCCTCTCCTTTGTGGACAACCCCAGGCCCATCACCATCCTTCACTTGTCTGCTTAAGAGGGCACTGTCTGGGGTGACTTCAAAGATAACTTCAGGACAGTCAGGCTAATAAAACCTTTATTCTATTGCACTTTCGTGGATGGAATATTTGTTCGTCTGTGTTCATCACTAGACAGATTTAAATCTTTTCACCATCACCTGTTTGTCTACATTTGTTTTGCGTGGGAAGTTCCACAGCATGGACTTTAACTTGTCTGTTGTTAATTTAATCAATTACAGGTAAACACATTTATTTATTGTTCTAAAAGACATCAAAAACAGGTGAAATATTGCAGTCAAAGCAATAACATATACATGGACTCTTCCTTCAGAATTGTTAAATAATGCAACTTTAAAACATAAACTGAATTGTCAAATTAAGTATTCTGTTAATTATTCTGAGGTATTATCATTTTAACAACTAAGAAATCAGAATTTGGCATGGAAAATATTCAATGATATTACATGAAATGTGTTGAAATCTTGCAAAATCCCACAGGAGGTGATACAAAACACAATATTGGATCCACAAGAAGAAGAATAAGATAAACATTTATTATTGTGGTTGTCTATTAGTGTCAGACTAAAAGAGACAAATATCACAAGATCATTCTCCGGAGAGGAGATGATCTTGTGGTGTTTTCATTTTACAGAACAAGATCTTGACCCTTAACAGTAATAGATTAACAGTAATAGATTACTGTTAAGTTTATTCGTAGCCAGTTCAGTGTAATGAATTTCTAACCACAGCAAACCAATCACATATTATTGCTTTTTATGTCAGATGCCCTACCAGTAACAACCAGCCACATAATGGGCCTGGAGTGGTCAATGCCTACTCTCTCTATATTGGCCCCCTCTCCCTCCTCAGCAGTTCAGCTTTCTCCACACCTTTGACATCTTCATCTGCTTTTCTTCAGCTCCTGCTCTGTCTTTTCTGTCTGCCTCTGTCTCCTCTGGGAGCTCAGTGATGGGATTCTGCAGGAAGGCCGTCCTAATGGAGCCTTCATTACATTAGCTCTTTAGACTGACTCGAGCCACACTGCAGCTACTTACACACTGGATATCTACAGTACTACAGAGGGGCAAATACAAGCATGCTATGCGAGGGTCTCTGTGGTTGTGCAGGGTTGTAAAATTCACCTCCGAGTGTTACATAACTCTTGACCACAGCTGTGTTTACCAGAGCTGTTTAAAGCACTGGCTGGGCTAGTTAGGAGTGTTTAGTGAATTATAAGCACCTATTTACTCCAATATTATTACTTGGAGTGGCCTCTGGAAATAGTCACTACTATTTTGTTAATTAAAACCACAATAGGATATTGGGCTTGACAGTGCAGTGATTAAAATGATTTGTAATACTTCCCATTTTATTGGAGATAAAAGTTAAGTTTTAGCACATCCCTTGAATAAACTACAGATAGATTCTGCATATTGTCAGCTGCACTTGCTTTCTCATCTGTATTCTCTTATCTTCTCTGCATTTCTTCATCCCTGTTATATATAGTATATTACGCTATTTTCTGATCTAGTATGTTATAATGTTTCCTAATCAAAAACATACCCAGAGTTGTGTTCTAACTCACAAATCTGGCATATTTGGTCTGAGTTCTCTTGAGTCTGTTCCACCTTGTGATGCCATGTGGTAATACAACAAGTACTCTATTGTGTTAAACGCCATACCTTCATTATAATAATTTGGTTAATTTCAGACTTGGAATTGCCAATTTCCATTAAAGTAAATTCTAGCTGTTAACTTGACAACTACAGCTTCATGACATCACAAGGTGGGACAGAGCTTGTGAACTTCGAAGAAGTAAACAGCCTTAATGCAGCATTACTCAAACATGTGTGAATGAAACAAAACACAACTCTAGGTAAGTTTTTCATGGGGAAACAAAAGTTTATCATGACTTAAAGCTCACAAGAATCATTCAATACAGGACCTTTAAAATAGGACAAAGCTAAAAGAAATTTTGTTGTGAAATATAATTATATGATAACAGTGGACTTGCATCTCATATTATATTGTCAGAATCCAAAGCTCATATAGGCTGCTGGCTGAAAGCAACAGCAGCAGTCATATGATAATATTGATGTGTTGTACTAGTATCATGTTGTTCATAGGAAACCTTTGGTATTTCAGAGTCTATATTTGACATCAGCACATACACAGCATTAACACAAGGCTGTATAGTACCTAAAATGACTCCAGGTTCTACCTGACACCTCTCATTGGGCAAGAGTAGGAAGTGAGAACATCAGATAAGCCTTAGGTCAAAGCCATGTACTACAGACACTACAATGTTTTGATACTTCACCTAATAACATATTATACCTACATACTGCGTTTTTCTTCAAATGTTGAATACCGTTATTCATGAAAAGGTCACTGGCCTAAAACCTATGCCATAATATAGGAACCACTGCATATAAGAAGGCAAGTGGGTGTGGTAAAATAACCTATAATAGGAACATTAGATTGGAAAATATATTTGGATTGTGTAGTTTAGGAAGTCTCGCCAAATATATAAAAAATGTGTTATTATTGTAAAGGAGGTCTAATATTGGAGGCAGATGTATGCCATGTCATGCTTTGTGTGGAGCAGGTGTTTTCATCTGAACGTTAAAAGCATCTTAATAATTTATTGCAGCCTTATGACTATATTTCCCGTTAGAAGG